AGCAGAGGTGGAAGCTGCACTGTTCGACGAAATAACTGAAGCGGGCAAGGCACTGCTTCTAGGCGGCAAAGTGTCCGTGATAGCGACGTTGGTTGATGCCGGGTTGCTAATTCCGAACACGGAACTTGAATCCTGACTAAAACTTGCGGTTGATGCCGAACCGGCACTGTTGGACGACATAACTGTAGCAGTAATGGGTGCTATGGAGCTAGAATCCTGCCCTAAACTTGCGGCGGAGTCGGAAGCAGCACGGTTCGACGAAATAACTGAAGTGGGTAAGGCACTGCTGCTAGATGGCAAAGTGTTCGTGATAGCGACGTTGGTTGATGCCGGGTTGGTAATTCCAGACGCTGAACTTGAATCCTGGCCTAAACTTTGAGCAGAGGTGGAAGCTGCACTGTTCGACGAAATAACTGAAGCGGGCAAGGCGCTGCTGCTAGGCGGCAAAGTGTCCGTGATAGCGACGTTAGTTGATGCCGGGTTGCTAATTCCGAACACGGAACTTAAATCCTGACTTAAACTTCCGGGTGATGCGGAACTGGCACTGTTAGCCGCCGTAGCAGTAATGGGTGCTAAGGAGCTTGAATCCTGCCCTAAACTTCCGGCAGAGGCGGAAGCAACACTGTTCGAGGAAATAACTGAAGCGGGCATGGCACTGCTGCTAGATGGCAAAGTGTTCGTGACAGCACCGTTGGTTGATCCTGCGCTAGTAATGGCTGCTACGGAGCTTGAATCCTGACTTAAACTTGCGGGTGATGCGGAACCGTTGGCCGCCATAACTGTAGCAGTATTGGGTGCTATGGAGCTAGAATCCTGCCCTAAACTTGCGGCAGAGGCGGAAGCAGCACTGTTCGACGAAATAACTGAAGTGGGCAAGGCACTGCTGCTAGATGGCAAAGTGTTCGTGATAGCGACGTTGGTTGATGCCGGGTTGGTAATTCCAGACGCTGAACTTGAATCCTGGCTTAAACTTGCGGTTGATCCGAAACCACCACTGGTGGCTGACACAACTGTAGCACTAATGGGTGCCATGGAGCTTGAATCCTGGCCTAAACTTGGAGCAGAGGTGGAAGCTGCACTGTTCGACGAAATAACTGAAGCGGGCAAGGCACTGCTGCTAGGTGGCAAAGTGTCTGTGATAGCGACGTTGGTTGATGCCGGGTTGGTAATTCCAGACGCTGAACTTGAATCCTGGCCTAAACTTGCGGTTGATCCGAAACCACCACTGGTGGCTGTCACAACTGTAGCACTAATGGGTGCCATGGAGCTTGAATCCTGGCCTAAACTTTGAGCAGAAGCGGAAGCTGCACTGTTCAAGGAAATAACTGAAGTGGGCATGGCAGTGCTGCTAGATGGCAAAGTGTTCGTGACAGCGCCGTTGGTTGATCCTGCGCTGGTAATGGGTGCTATTGAGCTTGATTCCTGGCCTAAACTTGCGGCAGGAGCGGAAGCAGCACTGTTCGATGAAATAACTGAATAACTGAATCCACTATTGCTGGATGGCAAAGTGTTCGTGATAGCGACGTTGGTTGATGCCGGGTTGGTAATACCTGACGCTGAACTTGAATCCTGACTAAAACTTGCGGTTGATGCCGAACCGGCACTGTTGGACGACATAACTGTAGCACTAAAGGGTGCCATGGAGCTGGAATCCTGGCCTAAACTTGCGGCAGAGGCGGAAGCAGCACTGTTCGACGAAATAACTGACGAGGGCATGGCACTGCTGCTAGATGGCAAAGTGTTCGTGATAGCGACGTTGGTTGATGCCGGGTTGGTAATTCCAGACGCTGTACTTGAATCCTCACTTAAACTGGCCGTTGCTCCGGAGCCACCAGTGTTCGATGGCATAAGTGTCGCGGACATGATAGTGACATTAGATGATAAAGGGTTTGAGCCACCGATGTAGGTTGATGCTGCGCTAGTAATAGGTACTATGGAGCTTGAATCCTGTCCTGAACTTGCGGTATAGGTGGAAGCAGCACTGTTGGTTGACGGGACTGAAGCGTTCATGTCACTGTTAGATGACATAACTGTAGAGGGCATTATGGTGCCGTTCGCCGGCCAAGTGTTTGAGATAAGGAAATTAGTTGTTTCGAGGTTTGTAAGATGTGCCATAGAGCTTACATCCTGACTTAAACTTGCGGTTGATACTGAACCAGCACCGTTGGATGACATGGGTGTAGAAGGTGTGACGGTGCTGTTAGATGGCGAAGTGTTTGAGATAGGGACATTGGCTGATGCAGGAATGGTAGTGTTTGTCATGGAGCTTGAATCCTGACTTGAAATATCGGTTTTTGAAGTGGCGGCATTGGTTGTTAGAAGGGTGCTGTTGGGCACCATGGAACTTGTGTCCTGAATCACTGTTGCGTTTGGGGTTACATTCATTACGTAAGCAATGAGGATTATTGCAGCTGTGCGCGACATTTGGATCATGGTGCTAATAGAACTCCGACTCAACTAACAATGATTTAGTTTCTTGATTTGACTGCCAAATTCGCTGACATGTGCGTATTTATTATGGGTTGCGCGACAATTTTAAACATAGCAACGAATATACGCATCTTATTGTTTGGTGGAAAAATAATTATATGATTTTTGTTTTTTTAGAGAAAAAATCATGATTGTTATTTTATTAAAATGACATATGTATGGGTGCTTGTATAGCTGTTCGTTAAAGAAGCAATCTTTAAATTTACTCGACTCATAGTAGTTGTTCTTTAAGGATTCCAAT